TGGAAACGTTATGAAAATTGTCTTGATTTGCAGGTCATTTCCGGCGAGAAGGCCGGTGAAAGAATTTCACTGCCAAGAATTGATTTGTCACCTGCAGACTCCTCTCTCCCTTTCTCTTTTAAGAGGCGACAATTTCCAATTCGCATTGCGTTCTGCATGACCATCATCAAAGCTAAGGGTCAAACACTGAAGCGAGTCGGCATTTATTTACCCCAAACAGTTTTTGGCCATGGTAAACTATATGTTGCACTCTCACGAGCTAAATCGTACAAAAATTTTGATGTCCAAATTCTTCCCAAAGGCAACCGTACAAAAAACATCGTGCACAAAGAGGTGCTTCGATCTTTTATAAATCCCAAAAGCCTCATAGTCATTAGAAAATTATCAAAAAATAAAAATAAAAAAAAATTTAAACAGTAACAAAAAAAAAAGAAAAATTAATAATGCGAGCTTTTTATAACATTTTTCGGTAGAATGGCAGTCTACACCCTGTAACGCAGAGAGGCAGTTAAATTCCTTGATCTTCTGCCGCAGAATCATCATCATTATTAAATAGATTCAACTAATCGCTCCGATTCCAAATAAGCTACTGCACCACCATTGCTAGCTGTGGAGGGTGCCCGTAGGGCGCCCGGAGCAGCTAGTATTAAATAAAAAACACAGGATCGTCTATCAAGGCCTGGAGGGAATAAGATAACATCAACTGAAACAAAAACGCCGGGCCTAGAAGCCGTACTTACGGGCTATATAGAAACTCCTTCCGCGTTCCGTGCTGCAGAGGCCGAAAGTTACAGACGTAGCACCCGGAGCAATTGGAGCCACAGTTCCAGCAACCGGAACATTTGGCCTCTGAGCCCGGAACGGACGGTATGTCTAATGTCTATATAGCCCGTAACTTTTTTTTCTTAGTGTGCCGGTTTCTAAAATATACAGGATGATCAGCACTGAAAAAAAAACACATTGGATCTAGCGTCCAGACTCTTGAAAACATTGACAAGAAAAAATACTCTTGATTCAATCAGATTTTTGCTTAAATCAAAAGGAAATCCGCTCAATTTAAGAGGCTTGGTTTTTGATTTAAGCAAAACTCCGATTGAATCAAGAGTATTTTTTCTTGTCGATGTTTTTAAGAGTCCGGACTCTAGATCCAATGTGTTTTTTTTCCAGTCAAGGTTAAACGGATTGACTGCAGGAGCCTGTTCTAAGGGACAAGATAAGACTTCTGTGTTGGAAATCGAGATTTCGCTGTGTCTAGATCATTTATGAATTCAGGGCATAAAAGGACAGAGGAGTACAAATTTTCATGAGATTTGGTTCACAACCGTTGCCAAAATTTAGAGAAAACGATCTAATTTCCGAAATTTTGGGGGGGGGGTTGCAACTCCGACTGAGGGCACTTTTGGAAACAAACTTTATACAACAAAAAAGTCTTATTTTGACCCATAGAACACGCTCCTGCAGTCAGGTCGTTTACCCCTGGATCACCCTGAATAATCTCTGATCCTATATCTCCATTACACACGGAGAAAAAAAACTTCGTGCGTGGGACCCGAAGTTTAGGTCATAAGGATCTCTGAAGTTTTCGGATTGAGCATCTGAACACTTTAGGTCCAGCTGCTGAGGTTTAGATCACACATCTGAAATTTCAGTTCTTACATCTGAAGTACCTCGGTTATCACACCCGAACAACTTCGGTTCTCACATCTGAAGTACTTCAGAAGTAAGAACTGGAGTATCAGATGTGTGATCCGAACCTCGACAGCTAGACCTTAAGTGTTCAGATGCTCAATCCGAAAACTTCAGAGATCCATATGACCTAAACTTCGGGTCCCACGCACGAGGTGTCTTTCTCCGTGCATGAGCACTGTCTTTAAATTCGATGCCGGATTTCTGGAATCGCACGCTTTTGGCAGCTGAATATGAAAGTCAACAGTCATCGCTCAACGGCTGAAATTTCGCAAATTCGAGTCATTTTCATCCAGATTTGTATCGAATCTATTCGAAAAGTTTAGACGAATCCGACATTATCCGATGGTCGCTGAGCCTCGTTGCTGAAAATTCAGGCATCGGACCGATGACATCCACATTCAAGCCACATTCAGCTCCCACATGCCGCAATCACACGCTGAATTTAGCAGCTGAATGTGGAAGTCAATAGTCATCGCCCAACGGCTGAAATTTCGCAAATATGAGTTGTTTTCATCAAGATGTGTATCACTGTATCAAGTCTACTCGAATAGTTCAAACCAATCCAACATTAGTCCGATGGTTGCTGAGAGTCGTTGCTGAAAATTCAGGCATCGGGCCGATGACTTCCACATTTGAGCCACATTCAGCTCCCACATTCAGCGTGTGATTGCGGCAACATTCAGCGCGTGATTCCGGAGTGACATTAAATTTCCCAAGTTTGAATTTGTTTTCCTCATGTTCCAGATGGACCGGGGATGGCGACCCGGGGCGATCCTGCGTCTCGCAGGGATGTTGGCAGCGTTGGCGGGTCTGGCCGGCGGCTGCGAGCGCGTTTACCAGGCCCTGCGACAGCCCTGCAAGTGTTATCGGGTCACGAACCGGGACGAGCCGCACGCACCGGCTCAGCTGGCCGTTGATTGCGACAACGTCGTCTTCCCCTCCGATTTCCCGACCCTCCCCTACAAGACCCCGATCATCGCCTTCAGCCACCGACACGCTGGATACCAGATGCTTCCCGCCCAGATGTTCGAGGCTACCGGTAAGTCATACTAGAGTACCTGTATAGCGAGAGTACGGACGGATGTGAAACTCCGAAAATCCATCAGGCCTTCACCGATGCTTCTGCGAATGAAGTTAGGGCCCAGAAATGCAGCCAACCTATGAATTTCAATTATCCAGAACGATTTACTAATACTATTGTTACGAACCGTCGTTTATTAAGCACGTGTTTGACTCAGTTTTTGCATAAATTTACTCAATTTTGCGGAAGAACGCTCATTTCTTTACATTCTTGGCCATCTTGGTTAGAATTGGAACCTGCAGACTGGCAGTGAAATTTTGTGCGTTATAAGTTAGTTAGAAGGGTGGCTGCACTTTTGGGCCCTAAGCCCTCCATGAAGCGATCTGTCCATATTCTCGCTATACAGGTACTCTAAGTCATACTAATAGATATCGTACAAATTCAGAGGCGGATCCAGCAATTTGGCAACAACGGAGTTCCTCCATTTAAACCTATGATAAATAATCGATTCTTGTCGGAGCACCTGGCCCCTCCAAGAATAGATAATTTTCCATAGGTTTAAATGGAGGAAATCCGGTGTTGCCAAATCCCTGGATCCGCCAATGCAAATTTTTACGAAGCAACCCGAGACTACGGGGGTCAAATTTGTGAGAAAATTCGCACCGGTATACTTTTTTTTAAAAAAAAATTGAATTGATTGAGCGGATTTGGCAACCTTGGAGTGGAGTTACATTACTTCGTCGGAGTACCGACGAATTGGGTTCCTGTTGGAAGGAAACGAAGAGGGACGGGAGAAATACTGGCACTCAAAGCTCTGACGCACAGTGGATCGAGTCATTTAGACAGGTCGGACATGAATTTTTTGAGTAAAACTGCAACTTTTGGTGTTGATTTTGTCACATTTTAAATTTTATAGAGTGTTTCCAGATGAAAATTTCACGAGAAAACCAATGGAACCACTTTTAGAACATTCAAGTTTTGTATAAACAGAGTTATAAGCGTCTAAAGTTTCCAAATTTTGTCCGACCTCTCCTATTGACTCGATCCACTGTGTGCCCCCCCCCCCCCCCNTCCGAGAAGGTGCCGAGAGCGTACTTTATGTGCCCCTTGCGACGGGCCCGCGGGCCGATTATTGAAAATGATTGACAAAGCTATAAACAAAGAAGACAAAAAAGATTTGGAGCGATCCTATTGGTGGAAGCGGGCGGTTGCAATGGACAAAGGAGGTAGGCAATAGACTAACTAACCGCAACCCACGAGGGACCCGATAATTAGTCAATCATCTTCTCCTTTAGTCTATAAGAATCACCCATTTTAACCGACGGAATAGCTCCAAACTCCCTATGTCTTCTTTGTCTATCACTTTGTCTATCAATCTCAATAATCAGCACCTAAAGTCCAAGGAGGGGGTGGAGTGTAGTTACTATAAGAGTATTTTAAAGAAAATCTAAGTTCAAATGTTTAGGGCCAGCAACACTTGCTAATACAAATGCACACGAAATCGAAAAGAGACGCAAACATGAACCGGAAAACAAGGAGCTTTTGCGGAAACAATACAAGCCAGATGATTGCTCGCTCCATTAAAAATCAAACCAGCTGAACTTTCCTGCAAATTGGCTTTTTTGTGTAATGCAATATCTGTCCGCAGTATGACGCAGAACAAGTCAATCTGCACGGCAGCTTACGGAAAAGCCGTCAAACCCCTCCTCAATTTCGTCGTGTTTTTTGCCACTTATTGTCAGTTGCTTCATTACTCGGAAAAAAATTTGGCGAATTAGTCTGGGTACACTTGACCGTATAGGTAATCGCAATTCTGGTAGCACTTATCACCCTTTTGCATAATTTACAACCTATACTGAAAAAAAAAACACATTGGATCTAGAGTCCAGACTCTTAAAAACATCGACAAGAAAAAATACTCTTGATTCAATCAGATTTAAGCTTAAATCAAGAACCAAGCCTCTTAATATGAACGGATTTCCTTTTGATTTAAGCTTAAATCTGATTGAATCAAAAGTCATTTTTCTTGTCAATGTTTTCAAGAGTCTGGACTCTAGATCCAATGTGTTTTTTTCCGCAGTGTAGTATCGTGAATGCTGCAAAATTTGGATTAACTTCACCCATGAGTGTACGTTGGCCAAACATCGAGGAGATTCGTGGATATTTTCACTTCACTTAATGACGAAGTTCTTGACTTCGAAGTTGTATGACTTAATGAGAGCAGTTCTACTGATTTTTGTACCGATTGAGGGCATAAAATCGCATTATAAGGCAGTGATTAAACAATTCTCAACATGGCAAATTGATATTTCGTGCAGTTTTAAATACTTTTGATTTTTTTTTACATCATTGGGGGTTGTTTGCCGCAAAAAGTTTGTGGAAAAATGTGCTCTGCTGAATCCTCTAGTATTAAAAAACGGGGCGTTGCCGTAATCCTCGAGATGTATTATTGGCGATTATTAGTACTGAGCTATTTATTAAAAAAAATAAGGAAAAAGCTTTGACTAACCCACTCGCGACTTTTGACAATTGAATCAGTGAGTTCGAAAACACACCAACTCGGAAAAAAAAAATGTTCAGGAAACACCTAAAACTGCGCAGCGGGCTAAGGAGTTAGTTCAAGAAAAACCTTTTTGGTGCCAAAGGACAAGTACTGAAAGATTTTGTAAATCACCAAGTTGAAATCGATGCACCATGTTTGATGACAGAGAATTAAGCGTTTAAAAATTTCCGAGTTGGTGTGCTTTCGTTCCCACCGACTTTCAGATACTGATTGTTCATTGTCTGCCCAGAAAAATGTATATTTTTCGACCTGAATAACGATTGAATATTTATATAACTTGTTGGTACAAGGTATACTGAACTGAAAAAAGGAAACCGCAAAATCGGATGGTCACCCGTTTCCCTTGAAATGGCCAAAAATTGGTATTTCCAATGAAATACTTCGATTTTTCCCTTTTCCTGTCGCTGTTTCGAGCACTTCCGATCGCAATTTCGAAATTTCCCTTTGCGTGCAGATGCTTCTATCCATAAGTTTTATTAAGCCGTAAAAAAGTGAAAATCGAAAAAAACCCGAGTTGGTGTGTTTTCGAACTCACTGATTCGATTTCAATAAGTTCAGATCTATAATTTAGCCAAGCTCCTTTCCCATCGACCATCGTAAGAAAGCTCATCAAACTCGATGGATTAAAAATCCACACCACCTCAAAGAGAAACCCATACCTTCGATAAGAAAAATTAAAAATAAAAAACCTGTAAACACGACAAGTCTTGATAAACAACTTTTATCCGTTTGATTGAAAATTCCCGGGAATGGGCATGTTTGATCGAACCGAACCGCGGAGTCCCAGAAAGTATGTCGGATCCCGACGTGTTAAATTTACGATAAATCGATTGAGCTGTCATTTAAACCTTTGGAAAAAGATCGATTATGAGGGTGTTCGTAATAAACACTTTAATAATCGATTATTTACCATAGATCAAATCGGAAAAATCGATACCCGGTGATTCGAGCCTCGCCTCCGATGTCGGGAGATTATTATTAATGGTTCGATGGACGGCTCGTGATTTATGCGCGATGCACGGCTGATAAGCTACACAACGGATTGCAGGCGCACTTATCGACCTCGCCAGATTAAAACTGCGTGATTCCATCGGATGCTGTCCGAGTGCTGCATCTCTAC